TGTGTGTGATCCCCTAAGCTACTAAGACACTCACTAGCAATGGCTCCTAAGCCTAAGTCACGCTAGTATCTCAACACCTTGTGCAAGTGCTGCACGTGCTCCTCTTTCGTCTTGGAGAAGACTAAGATGTCATCTAGGTAAACTACAACGAACTACCCTAGAAACTCGGAGAGGATTGTATTCATGAGCGTCTGAAACGTCGCTGGGGCGTTGGTCAAACCGAAGGGTAGAACCCTAAACCAACCCCTGCTTCGTACGAAACGCCGTCTTGTGCTGGTCCTCTGGAACTACTCGAATCTGAAGATACCCTAAGCGAAGATCGATCTTGGAGAAGATTCTAGCGCCCTGCACTGCATCGAGAAGATCTTCTACTCTCGGCACTGGGAACCTATTCTTGACGGTGGCGGCGTTCAGTGCGCGGTAATCTATGCACATCCGTAACCCTCCGTCTTTCTTGGGTGCAAAAAGGATCGGTGCTGCCCAAGGCGATATAGATGGTTGTACGAACCCCTGCGTGAGAAAGTGCCTAACCTGCTGCGTCATCTCCTCTGTCTCCGCTGGACTCAACCTCCACTGCGGCTTTGTTACTGGCCTGCTCCCCGGCTCCAACTCTATTTGATGGTCTACTGCTCGGCTGGGAGGTAACCCTGGGGGCAACTCGTCGGGGAAGACGTCTGCGAACTCTGCTAACAGTGCACTCACCTCAGCAGGAAGAGTCGCCTTCTCACCAGCTGCTGCACTCCCTCCTTTCCCCTCCTCAGCTTCCACCTCCTCAAGGAAAACCGCAAAGATCCGTGCCGCTCACTTCACTAGCTGCCGCACACGAACAGCATTGATGATGGCTGTGGATGATGTGGCCCCATCGCTCCACTGTGGCAACTCCCAGAACTCGCCATCTACCTTGACGCTGCAGCTTCCCTGAGCCCAATCGAACTGAGTACTAACCGTCCGTAACCAATCTCTACTGAAGATGAAGTCGTAACCGTCCAGCGTCGCAGAGTCGAAGTCGCGTCTAACCGTGATTGCTCCTAGCACCACGCGCAACTTGCGAATTACTGGTCCTATGTGAAGTGGAGTCCCATCTACCATGCGAGCGTCCTTGAAGTTGACTGCCAAATCTGCTTCGAGATGGAGACGACTAACTAACGAAGATGAAACAAACGAGTGGCTAGCTCCGCTATCGATGAGAATCTTGACTGGAACTCCACGAAGCTTCCCTAGAAGCACGACTGGAGCATCAACATTGTCTACCTAGTTCGGCGTAGGTGACTACTCTAAGGTCGTCTCCTCTACGTTGGTAGACGTGGCGGGTTCGGAAGCGTCCACACCAGCTAGCGACCCGCTATCTACTGGCGGTTTTTGTTTCCGTGCTGCCGCTCCTTAAGTTGTGGGCAGTCCCGCTTCACGTGTCCCGGCTTTTTGCAGTTTTGACAGTTCCCCCTAAATCCCGTTTTCTGTGAGCCGTCACTGTTAACTGCACCAATCTCCATGGGCGATGGTCCGTCCCTCGATCGAGCGTCATTGATCGGTCTGTTGTATCCCGTATCGCGTTCGTCACGACCCCGTCGGCTTCGTACTGCGTCGACGTGTTCTGCTGCTGCGACTATCGACTCCAAGGTGGACAACCCGTGAATCGCTATGATCTCCGCCATGTCCGGGTTCAACCCTTCGAGGTAGCGATCGCGCATCTCTGCTTCCGTGATATCGTCTATCTCGTTGTAGATGCTCAAGAACCACCGTGTCTACTCCTAGACGTTTCCTATCTGTCGGAAATGACGCAGACGCTTTCTAGCAGCTTCCGAGGCGTTCACCAAGTCGAACCTACTTTTCAGCGCCGCTTCAAATCCTTCCCATGTGGTTGGAACCGTGGTAACACCCAAAGCTAAAGTCCCTAAGCTCGAAGTTGCAGCTGCATGCCCCACGCCCTGTTGATGCCCGTCTGTCTGAGCCCTTCTTACAGCAATTTGCGTGAGTTGGCACCACCACTCCAAGGCCGGGCCCCTAAGCAGCATAACGGAGTACTCGATCCGCTGCTGCGCGTCCGCCTCTTGCACCCCGCTCGCGGCGAAGTAGTTGTTCAGCATGAAGAGCCACGTCCGCACGTTCATGTCTCGTTGACTTGGGTCGAACGACCCGGGTTTCTGCGGCTTGAGCGTGCTTCGACGTTCCGGCAGCGCTTCCGCGCTAGTCGACGTGTTGGGTGCAGGAGACGGTGCGGCATGACCATGAGAAATTGACGCGAATTCACGAAGCTGTTGCATTTCAGCTCGTACCCGACGATTTTCCAGCGTCAATGCTTCAAGTTGGCGCATGAGTTGAGCAAGCGCATTGCCCATGTCGTTGGGGAGAGCATTCATGGTCTCGTCCATGTTGGCTCGACGACTCCAAGTCTGCAAGTTGGCACCGCGGGACGATAATGTCATAGTCTCGTCGTTGACGGTCGCTCGTTGGAAGTCGCTCCCCACGAAGGCTCTTGATTCCAAGTGTTTGGCCCGCTGGCCAAAATCCGCTAAAGATTAGCGGGGTCGACTAAGTCGAGGATAAACGCGGCGAAAGACTTTGGCGAAAGAGAGAGGGCAAAAGGGAAAGTCGTTGTCGTCATTAAGGATTGGGCTAGATAGCTAAAAAGGGAGGGGGAGAGGGAAGAGAGGGAGAAAGGTAAGAGAGCGAGATAGGGAAGAGGTGGAGAGGGAGAGAGGGACAGAGGAATAAAGGTAGATAGCAAGGTAGGGAGGGATGGAGGGAGATAGGAAGAGAGGGGAGAGGGAGGGATGGAGGGAGGAAGAGAGGAAGTGGAAACAAATGGACGAGAGATCGGAAGACAAGGTGGAAAGGTGGGAAGGCAGGAAAGGAAGACAAGGCAAGTGAGGCTTGCAGGGGGGAAGACCAGGAAAGGAACGGACGAAGGGGAACAGAGGGGAACGACATGAAATGGAGGGGAATGGAGTGGGCACTCACCTCGTGATGGGAGTCTAGGTTTAGTTCTGGAGAAGGCAAACGGAAAAGGGCAAGAAGCTTACCCTCTTCCCCTCTATCCCTCCCCATCTCTCCCTCCCCTCCTGACCATCTCCCTTTGTGCATCCCCCTCTGTTCCTCCCCTCTGCCCCCCCCCCTCTGTCCCTCCGCTTCTGTCCCTTCCCCCCTCTGTCCCTCCCCCCGTCTGTCCCTCCACCCATGTCTCTAGCCCTCTGTATCCACCTTCCACGCCACAGAGTGCTGTGCGGCGCCTTTTGAGACGTCTCAACCAGCAGAACCTACCCATCCGTACCCATTGTGGTGAGAAGCAGGCAGTATCCTGGTTGGCATCGTCAGCATCACCAGATGCTAAAAGCAACTGCTGAGTTGGCCCCTTGTTTCGCGTCCGTCCCTCCTCTTAGTTGCAAATGTACATGGGGAGGGAGAGGAGAGGTACATGGGGAGGGAGAGGAAAGATGGTGAGATCGAGATAGAGGGGTGGCATATGGGGAAAGCAAAGGCTCACTTGGTGCGTGATGCGTGTTGAGATACGAACGTAGTTAGATACTAGGTTTAGCTAGGGCCTAGGCTTAGGAGCCTAGGCCCAAGGAGGATCGAGGAAGTTTGTCCAAGGTGAGAGAGTCGAGAGAATTGGAAAAGGTGATTGTTCACTATAGCACTAGGGTACATATAGTAAACAGAGCATGCAAAGAAGGTGCACCACCAACAGTTTATAATAACTACCCTAAACTACAGCTACAGGCAGTTACATATAAATTCTGACACTCCCCCATAACTGCCTGGAGCAGGAGTTTATGCAGAACACAACCTGCAGGGGTACACAAGCAACAGCAACAGCAGGTACAGTAACAGAGCAGGTACAGCAGCAAAGGGACAGGCGACAGCAAGAAATTCCTGCCACCCCCTTACTCTCTTCCCCCCAACCACAGGAGGGGCAGCAGGGAGAGTGAGGAGGCGGGCTGGCTCTGGCTGGTCACCCCCTCCATCTCCTCACCCTCCCCCTCCCCCTCCCCCCCCACACTGCTGCAGGAGCAGCAGAGGGGGGAAGAGAGGAGAGGTGGAGGGACGGCTGCTGGTTGGTCTCACACCCGCCACCCCAGTGCCACTCCCCCAGCTCCCCCACACCCTCACACCCTCCCCCCCCCAGCGGCAGCTGCAGCAGTGGGAACGAAAGGAGGAGGAGGGGAAGGGAAGGACACCACTCATCACTCCAACACCCGCCACCCCCATACCCTCCCCCCCACGGCTGCAGGGAGACGAAGGAGGAGGGGGTGGGCGGGGAGAAAGCCGCAGAGCGGCTACAGAGGGTTGGCGCAGGTAGGTCAGGGGCGGCTGCAGGGAGTGCAGGCGCGGGGTGAGGCAGAGGCACCGCCGAGTGCGCCAGGGGCGGGTACTTGGCGGTTCAGGACACCGTCGCAGGCGCCAGGGGCGGTTCCGCGGCGGCTCAAGGGCACCGTCGCGCACCACGGGGCACTTGACGGGCAGTTTAGGGCACCGTCGCATGCCACGGGGCGCACGACGAGCAGGGCACCGTTGCGTGCCACGAGGCGCACGACGGGCAGGTTTGGGGCACCGTCGTGGGCCACGGGGCGCACGACGGGCAGGGCACCGTCGCGTGCCACGGGGGCGCACGACGCGCAGAGAAGATGTCACTCGCCACCCGGGGGCGGGACAGGACGAAAATCGCCACGCGCCCGAGGCGCACGACCGGAAAAACAGCAGCGGAAGCATAAGGCGGGCCCACAGGCCAGGACGTAACCCGCTCTGATACCATGTTGAGATAGGAACGTAGTTAGATACTAGGTTTAGCTAGGGCCTAGGCTCAGCCTAGGCCCAAGGAGGATCGAGGAAGTTTGTCCAAGGTGAGAGAGTCGAGAGAATTGGAAAAGGTGATTGTTCACTATAGCACTAGGGTACATATAGTAAACAGAGCATGCAAAGAAGGTGCACCACCAACAGTTTATAATAACTACACTAAACTACAGCTACAGGCAGTTACATATAAATTCTGACAACGCGCACCTCTATGAGGCTGGGGGTATGCAGGGCGGAGGTGGGGGGAAGCAGGGCAGAGGGAGGGGGGAAGCAGGGCGAATGGAGGGGGGGAGCAGGGCGGAGGGAGGGGGGAAACAGGGCGGAGGGAGGGGGGAAACAGGGCGAAGGGAGGGGGGGAGCAGGGCGGAGGGAGGGGGGAAACAGGGCGAAGGGAGGGGGAAGCAGGGCATAGGGAGGGGGGAAACAGGGCGAAGGGAGGGGGGGAGCAGGGCGGAGGGAGGGGTGAAACAGGGAATAGGGAGGGGGAAGCAGGGCATAGGGAGGGGGGAAGCAGGGCGGTGGGAGGGAGGAGGCAGGGAGGAGGGATGGGGGAAGCAGGGAGGAAGGAGGGGGGAAGCAGGGAGGAGGGAGGGGGGAAGCAAGGAGAAGGGAGGGGGGAAGCAGGGCGGAGGGAGGGGGGAAGCAGGGAGGAGGGAGGGGGGAAGCAGGGAGGAGTGAGGGGGGAAGCAGGGAGGAGGGAGGGGGGAAGCAGGTGAGGCAAAGGATAATAGATTGCGGGGTGCACAGAGCTGGTGGGAGAAAGGGAGGTCGGTCACATAAAGAGGGGTGTAGGCACTTCAAGGAAATTGAGGTCCATGGGGAGAGGGAGTGAGGGAAGAACCCGCTGCCACCCAGGTCTCCCACTCTCTGCCCCCCCCCCCCCCCCCCTCTGTTCCTAAACCCCCTCCATCGTTCCCCTTCTGTCTCTCCCCCTCAGCCCTTCACAAAGTGAAGCGCGCGTGACCAGGGAGGATAGCGCGTAACGAGGGGAAACGCGCGTGACGAGGGGAGGAGAGCGCGCAACGCGGGGAAGCGCGCGAAGGCGCGTGCGCGAGAAGCGGAAATGCGCGCCACGAAGCGATACGCGCGAGACGAGGGGAAACGCGCGTAACAAGGGGCAACGCGCGTGACGAAGGCAAACGCGCGTGACGAAGGGAAACGCGCGTGACGAAGGGAAACGCGAGTGACGAAGGGAAACGCGCGTGACGAAGGGAAACACGAGTGACGAAGGGAAACGCGCGTGACGAAGGGAAACGCACGTGACGAAGGGAAACGCGCGCCACGGAGGGAAACGCGCGTGACGTAGGGAAACGCGCGTGACGAATGGCAACGCATGACGAGGGCCGGCATTCTATTCCAAGCAGGCGCGAGTGACGAGGGCGGGCGCGAGTGACGAGGGGGAGCGCGAGTGGCGAGGGGGAGCGCGGGTGACGACTCGCGCTGCACGTGCGGTAGAATGGTGTCGCACTCGTTTGGCTCAGACGTTCCGGGTGAGTGTGGCGACTACGCCTGTAAATATGTACAGCGACACTAGGCTTGTTCTGCCCAGCTATTGACGAGACAGCATGAGTGACGTGAGTTGCCGTAAAAATCGCGGTCACGTGGTACTAGCTGATGAAGCACTGGCTTTCTACTTACGTGAGAGCCTAGGCCAGTCATGAGTACTACTAGGCGATCAAGATATGTGTGATGCAACCAGCGGGCCAACCTGAGCGACGCTCGGTTATGTTTTGAGATTGTGCACATCAGCCAATGAGGAGAGAGTGTCGCTAGGCGTTGCCCAGAGTCGCGAGAGTTCCGCAAAAAAAAGACGGGTAACCCTGTTTTTGTGTGATGCTGACCTGTGTGCCTCAGTGTAAGGATTTACAAAATCCTTACTGAGGCACTCGTTAGCGAGGCCATCCCGAGGGTCACGCGACGAACCTGTCCTTCCTATTTCGTCGCACCGAACCACTCCCGAGTCGCCTCCGCTCCAATCGCAACCATCACCGAGCCATCCTCGCCCAACCTCTCCGCCTAGCTAGGACTTCCCCTATTTAGTCGTGGCTTTCTCATTGTATTGTCATTCAGTAATTCAGTACTCAGTCATTCTCATTATTCGATATTCTGCACACTCTGCAAGTTCATTCATAACACTCAGCTGCTTTGTGACAACTGAGGGATGCGTTCCCAAGCAAAATACGGTAGTATTGCATTGCCAGTGGAGGCACAGCTGCCTCAATGTGCCTCCTAGTTACACCAAAGAATCTGAATCAAAGGATGATGAACGAAGAGGTTCACTCATCTCAAGCCTGACCCAATGAATCGCAACCTATTTACCTTACAAACGGTATGAACAATAGAAAGCTTCGTTCGTGGGTTGAATAACCTCCCATTGAAACAGTCCCAAAATTTGCTTCTGTTGGATCGGTCAAGCGCTTCAAGCAATCTGCAGGCGGTCGACCCCATGAGCAACGAAACTTCCTCTGTGCAAATTCTTGTCGAGAATTCTCGACCACTGTTTTTTGTTCTTTCCCTTGAGCGCGAGCGCCACGCTAGTGCCTTGATTCATTCCCCAACCAGGACTCACTGTGTGCCGAAACAACTTTCCATTGTTCAGCAGAAGCGCAACCGACTTCCCTTCAGGTAAAGCCTTCAGCTTGGCGAACCGCTTCTTGCCCTTGATGATGTTGAAGGAGAGGCTCTTAAAGAGATTGAGCGAGGCTCCCGGGTTTTTAAGATTCGGGAGGAGGCCACTCGACAGAAGCGCGGCGTCGGTGGGTATTAAGATGGTGGTGTGAATGAAAAGGGTCAAGTCCATGGCGGTGGGGAGGGCTTCTGCGAGGGACGAGTGGAGGGGATGGGAAGGAGGTGAGGGATGACGGAATGAGCGAATAACGTCAGTGAATGAAGTCTAAGGCGCCTCAAAAGATGGTGATGTGAAAGAAAGGGATCCGGCCGATGCCGACGGGAATGGTTTCTGCAAGGGGCGACTAGAGCGGATGGGCAAAAAATCGAGGGACGACGAAATGTGCGTTTCTTGCCAACCGATGGTTGCGAGAAAGGTGTAAAACGGTGTAAACGGGGGCATGACACGAGTCTGGGCGGGAAAAGAGAGTAAGTTGCTGGTAGAGTATGAAATGAGAGTAACAGCCCTGTTAATCGAGCGCGAGTCGCGGAAGGGAAAGGGAACAAGGGAGATGCAGACCTGAGTTTCCTCTAAGTCAGCACAGGTAGGCTCTGGAATCACACAGCCGGAAAAAAATATAAATTACGACGATGATTGTAATTGGACTTACTTCCTTGAGTAATCAGCTGAGAAAGAACTTGACTCATGACGAGGTATCTCAAACGGGGATTTAGCATCAATTTCTGCCGCAGCGCCTTCAGCTCCCCTATGATTCCCGCCGTTTTTGCCGCGGCCGCAGCTGTCGCTAACGGGTCCGCAGCTGTCCCCAACGGGTCCGCAGCTGTCGCCAACGGGTCCGCAGGTGTCGCCAACGAGTTCGCAGGTATCGCCAACGGGTCCGCAGGTGTCGCCAACGGGTCCGCAGGTGTCGTCAACGGGTCCGCAGCTGTCGCCAATATCGACAGTGAAAGGAGAGCAGCTAGCATCAGCGTTTGGACTGACATGGCGGCTGACGTGTATACACTCGGCTAAACAGGCTGTCGCGAAATCTGAGAATGTGAATCTGAAACGATCTACAGCGAGTGGCGGATAGATGACAAGGTTGGAGCGCGCAGAGATGTTTTCTTGAAACAAACAGAACGGAATAAATTCACGATCGAGCGAGTCTCTCTAGGTCAAGTGTGGTGGCGACAACGACTTGGTTTGGTTTGGCAGGTGTTTCCTGAGTGTCGAAGCAACAAATGGCGGCTGGGAGCAATAGGGGAAGGAAGAAAAGGAGGGGACGGCGGAAATGGAGAGGAGACGGGGAGGGGGAACGGAGGAATTGTGGGGTACACCCTCTTTTGCGCTACACTGGCAACGGGATTCACTGGCTACAGTGAAACTGTTCCTTGGACATATTCGGAATTGTTACGATAACCGTCTCTAGGGGGTGAGTGATTCGCAATTTCGTTATCCTGGGTACCCTACCGAGCCATATCAAACGTTCAAACGACCGTCTTTGAAAGTAACTAACCGCGTCAAACCGTACTAGTGCAAAAGTCCACTATAACGCGTCCTCTGGCGCATTGAGCCACAGGGCCCATATAGCCAATGACAGTGTAGCGCGAAAGAGGGTGTAGAGAAGGGGAAGGGGGACGGGGCCTTGGTGGGGGGAACACCATCTGCCTTGTGATCAATAAACGAACAAGGCAAGTGGGGGGACATATTTTGGAGAATGTACATTTGCCTACACGGAACCCCCTTGCACGGCGCTCTCGGCTGGATTTGCTGCGATGCTCCTGACGGTTCTCCAAGTTTCAAAGCGGTTTGACGATCTATGAAACCTTTCTTGAACGGTTTGCCATGTTCAAGCGCGACACGTCAGGGTGACAAAGCCGAGTTGCATAGGAATCGCCGGCTGGAGTCGCACGGATGCAGCGGTCGATTGTGTCCCAAAATCTCGGTGGGTTGATTTACAGCATTCAATCTGACTGGTTGTGTACGATACGGGGCCTTTGATGGATGATTTAGAGCGGTGCTAAATCAAATGAAGAATCTGAAATATAGTTTTTCTCGTTTGGGTACAGAAAGATGTGACTATCCTGGCTTTCCATCCAGCTGCAAATGAGAAAATCTGACAACACTTAGGACAACTTGTTCATGTTTTCAGTCATTTGATGCGTCTGGGGAGCCAACCCACCAATCTCATCTCAGTGCACAACTAATGTCAGCCACACATGCTGCACCAGTGGGAGTCCCTATATCGAGTGGCCTTTTACTACTCACCTAGTATTGTTCTCAGACCGTACACCCTTAACGAAACAACATACAGACTGAACCATCTAGTGTTTTCTTGTAATCTAAAGGAGCCCAAGGGAGTGAAGTACACAGCGGAGCGAAACAAAGAATCAGCGCGGGGCAAAGAGCTCCTGGATCTGGTTGAAGATCTCCATCACCTGCCAGCCAGTGTAAGCATGACACGGGTTTGGGTGGGGGAGGGGAGGGGATGATGCAGGTAAGTGGACAATGCCGAATAGGCACAACCAGTGCGGTGGGGCATAGAGCTTCTGGACCTGGTTGAAAATCTCCATGACCTGTTAGACAGTGTTATTACGACCTAGATTGGGCGGGGGAGAGGACAATGCAGAGGACGGGAAAATGGGGAGAAGACACACAACAGAGCATAAGCCTGGTGGGGCAAAGAGCTTCAAAATCTCGATTAGCGATGCTCATTCCCTCTCAGCAGTGGTCGACCAATGCAGCACAAACATACCAGAGCAGAGTAAGTGCGACCGTAAAGGTTAATGAACCGTGCAAGCAGCAATGCAGTAAGCACTCGGCTGGCAGATGCGGGTACCAACCTACAGGGCTGCTGAGTACTGCTACCGTCCAGCCCACACTGATTTTGATTGGTGGGTCTATTAATTGCTCATGTCAGCATCGTGCTTGCTTACCTCGGCATCGTTTTGGTACTTGGTCCAGTTCATGGGATTGGAGGACACCTGTTGGGATGCACGCCATTCCATGCCATGCCATACCATGCCATGCCATGCCATGCCATGCCATCCCATGCCATGTCATCCCATATGGACAAGTTACATGCCATGCCATGGCATCAGGATAAAATGAAAGCAGGTTCATGCAGAAGCACACACTTACCCAGATGCAGACACATGAACAGAGATTAACCATCAGATAAAGCTCCGGATTACCAGATACCACCCACAGTGTGGTGTGGCAGAAGCAGAGAGCATGCAGGCCTATGCACACACATGCACAAACGAGGCTGCTTATATTGAGTGCAAAGAAGAATGCTGATATCAAGCATGAGCTAGGATGCTCATATCGAGTCCAGTAAGGAATGCTTATATCGAACCCACATGCTGATGACTATAGCGAGTACAGAAAAAGGACACACATCGAGGATGGCAGCCTGCAGGCGAGGGTTCTCGAAGGCAGCGGTGAGCTTTGACTTTTGAGGCACCTGAAAGGTCATCCCATGTCTAAAGTGGTGACATTTGAGACGCCTGAAAGGCCATCTCATGTCCAAAGACTAAAGGACTCACATCGAGGATGGCGGCCTGCAGGCGGGGGTTCTGGAAGGCAGCTGCGAGCTTCGGGTTGGACATGATCTTACCCACCACGTCCTCTGGTGACATGCCCAGCTGGGCTGATAAGGGGGGGAAGGAGGGGGAAGAGGAGAGATATGGGGTTGAGTCGCGTGTACTAGACGGACACATGAGGAGAGCTTCGGGTTGGACATGATCTTACCCACCACGTCCTCTGGTGACATGCCCAGCTGGGCTGAACGGGGGAAAGGGAGGAGATGTACGGGTTGGTTGAGTGCGGTGACAGACATATATGAGTAGGTTAGGGTGGTTAGGTAGGGTTGGACATGATCTTAGCCTCCACGTCCTCTGGTGACATGGTCGACTCAAAGCTCTTGATGATTTGAGCTTGATAAACCCAAGGGGCCTGTGAACTGAGAGAATTGCAGCTTGGACCCCTTGGTCAACCAAGCATAGAGAACTGCCCCCTGGTCAACGCATCAATTCACAAAACTGGTCCTTGACTTCGGGGCTGTTGAGGTCGAAGCTCTTCATCATGTCCAGCTTTGGAACTAGAGTTGACTGTGAGCTGAGACTGCCCCTTGCACTCATAGAACTGCCCCCCTCATCAACACAGCAACTCACAGAACTGGTCCTTCACTTCGGGGCTGTTGAGGTCGAAGCTCTTCATCATGTCCAGGACTCTGTCATCAAAGCCCGTGCCGCCCATGTTGTCGCTGCAGGGAGAGGATGGGTACGGAAACGACGCGATGAGAGGAAGCGGATGAGAAGGGAAACTATGTGATGAAATGAGAGGAAGAGAAGGGAAAGGATGTGATGAGAAGGGCAAGGATGTGATGGGAAGGGACAGGAGATGTATCGAATGGACGAGATGGGTGAAGAGGTAGTGCAGAAAATTGCAGAGAGGAGGGATGGACAAGGGAAATACTGGGACGGAAAACGAGGGGACATGGGACAAGGGAACAGGGAGGACGTGGGGGAGCATGTGGTGGAGGGAGCATGTGGTGGAGGGAGGAGGGGAGGAATAGTGCTTTGAGTCTTCTCAAAACACACCAGGAGAGGTAGTGCTGGGAAAAATGGGGATGGATGAACATGGGATGGATGAACATGGGATGGATGAACAGGGAGATAGAAGCGGTTTGAGGAGGAAAGGAGAGAGGGGTGAGCAAGCAGAGGAGAGATAGGAAACTCACAGCATGCTCTCTAGCTGCTGGCGGTACATGGGGCTCTGCATCATCCCTGGGGGGGATAAGCGCATGCATAGGCACATGGGCGTGGGGCAGGGAGAGACAGCACGAGGAAAAGAAAACGGGAGGGGAAGGAAGGGGCAGTGGAAGGTAAGGCTTTGCGTGCTCGCTAGCTGCTGCTGGTGGTACATGGGGCTCTGCTTCATGCCTGTGGGGCTTGGCCGGGTGGGGGAAGGGGGCAGGGAGAGATGATATCGCATGTGCTGGCGGTACAGGAAACATCGACTAACAAATTGCTTCACGTGCTGGAGAAGAACGCGGAGACGAGGGGTGGGGAGGGGAAGGGAGAGAAGGAGAGGAAGGGTAGGGAGGGGAAGGGAGAGAAGGAGAGGAGGGGTAGGGAGGGGAAGGGAGAGAAGGAGAGGAGGGTTAGAGAGGGGAAGGGAGAGAAGGAGAGGAGGGGTAGGGAGGGGAAGGGAGAGAAGGAGAGGAGGGGTAGGGAGGGGAAGGGAGAGAAGGAGAGGAGGGGTAGGGAGGGGAAGGGAGAGAAGGAGAGGAGGGGTAGGGAGGGGAAGGGAGAGAAGGAGAGGAGGGGTGGGGAGGGGAAGGGAGAGAGGGAGAGGAGGGGTGGGGAGGTAGAGGGAGAGACAGAGAGGAGGGGTGGGTAGCAGAAGGGAGAGGAGACGAGGGGTGAGGAGGGAGAGGGAGAGACGGAGAGGAGGGGTAAGGGCGGGAGAGGGAGAGACGGAGAGGAGGGGTGGGAAGAAGGATAAGAGGTGTGGGTGGAGGTGCTTACACTTGAAGGTGGCCGGGTCTCTCATCTCCTCTGGCAGATACCTGCAGGACAGCACGAGTGTGAGGAGGAGGGCAAAAGGAGCAAAGTATGTCGGGACAATGCATGCCTTTGCAGATAGATGCTGTGCAGTGAAATGCAGGGCAGCACGTGTGTGAGGAGGAGCCAAGGGCAGCACGTGTGTGAGGAGGAGCCAAGGGCAGCACGTGTGTGAGGAGGAGCCAAGGGCAGCACGTGTGTGAGGAGGAGCGAAGGGCAGCACGTGTGTGAGGAGGAGCGAAGGGCAGCACGTGTGTGAGGAGGAGCGAAGGGCAGCACGTGTGTGAGGAGGAGCGAAGGGCAGCACGTGTGTGAGGAGGAGCGAAGGGCAGCACGTGTGTGAGGAGGAGCGAAGGGCAGCACGTGTGTGAGGAGGAGCGAAGGGCAGCTGAGCTTACAGAGTGGAGGGAGCAGGGAAGATGAGAATCCGTCAGTGATATGGAAAGACGAGAGTGGCAAAAGTGTTACGGGGGTGGAGTGGAGTTACTAAAACACAACCAGCAGGCATAAATGCACTCTCATGGGGCAAAGCGGCGATTACACCCGGAAACTCACGGGAAAACCATCTTCTGCACCATGGGGTCCTCGAGCATCTTCTCCAGCGCCTCCACTGTCATCTTGCCCTTAGCCCCGCCTGCTAAAGAAAAAAACCGAATCGAACAAAACAAGAATCGAGACGATTGTTTCGTCAGGGTGTTAAGAGATACCGAGATGCACGATAATGGATTGAGATGCACGATGATGGATTGAGATGCACGATGATGGATTGAGATGCACGATGATGGATTGAGATGCACGATGATGGATTGAGGGTTGGAAATCTGTGATACATGATGATAATGCATGGCGCATGCCAAGTGAAATGGAGGACTGTAGCCTTGCATTGGCTTGGCACTTACCACCACCTCCATCATTGTCCCAAGTGGCATTCACGGCAACAGAGGAGGCAGTGATGTTGCTGTTTTCTCTCACATGACTGCACATCAGTCGTTACTGCATGGATTTATACCTTGCTTGCTGCGCTGAGCACGAGCACTCACCACCACCTCCTCCGTTGGCAAATGAGTTGGTGGACGTATCCCAAGTGGCATTAGATGCATTGCTGCCGCTGCTGCCCGTGCTACTGCCCGTGTTCCCCCAGGAGAAGCCTCCCCCGGATGGCTCCTCCACCAGCTGGAGGGGCGAACACAGAGGGGAAGGGCAGGCAAGTGGCATTAGATTAGATGCATTGCCACCGCTGCTGCTGCTGCTGCTGCTGCTGCTGCTGCTGCTGCTGCTGCTGCTGCTGCTGCTGCTGCTACTGTTGCTCTTCCAGCAGAAGCGCCCCTGGATGGCTCCTCCACCAGCTGGCGCCGCAAACACAGGGTGAGAGGCCGGCCATGGGACATTCGCACAACAAGCACACGATGAGAGGATGACCTCAAGGCACGATGAGAGGATGACCTCACGGCATGGGTGGACCTCAAGGCATGGGTGGACCTCAAGGCATGGGTGGACCTCAAGGCATGGGTGGACCTCAAGGCATGGGTGGACCTCAAGGCATGGGTGGACCTCAAGGCATGGGTGGACCTCAAGGCATGGGTGGACCTCAAGGCATGGGTGGACCTCAAGGCATGGGTGGACCTCAAGGCATGGGTGGACCTGAAGCTGCTGGATAGTGACACCCATACCTTGTGGAGCGGCTGCTCAAAGTCGTTGAATAAACTAGTGGGGCGAGCGAGCACACGAACGTGACCTGGAGCTACTGGATGATGGTGGCAGGTCACTTTCGTGTGCTACTGGAGAATCAATGATTCTGCTGGAGGTGAATCAATGAATCACAAGTGCCTCGCCTTACCATCAATGAATCACAAGTGCCTCGCCTTACCATCAATGAATCACAAGTGCCTCGCCTTACCATCAATGAATCACAAGTGCCTCGCCTTACCATCAATGAATCACAAGTGCCTCGCCTTACCATCTTGAAAGAAGCTCGCCTCTTGCTGCTGCTGCTCGCCTCCTCTGCATCAAGTAAGACGGAGACTTCTAAGGCCTTCAAAAGGTAGCGGCACTGATTCTCCCACCCGCTGGTGGTGCTCCAGCACTCCCTCACAAGTGCCTCACCTCAGCAGGGCGCTCACCTCAGCATCTTGAAAGAAGCTCTTCTTCTTGCTGCTGCTCTCCGCCTCCTCTGCAGGAGCCGAGGATGCTGCTGACGACGAAGAAGCGCTGCTGCTGCTGGAAGGGCTGGTGGTGGCAGAAGAGGGTGCTGCAGCAGCGGCAGCTGCGGGCTTGGCGTCTGAGACTTGTGCTGCCACGTCCACCACTGCTGCGCATGACACGGGAGGGAAGGTAGGTGAGAGGGGAAGGGAGAAGGTAGGATAGCGTGAGAGGATGGAGGAGCAGCAGCATTGGTAGGTAGGTGGCTTGGCGCCTGCCAACTGCGCTGCCCCATCACATCTACCACTGCTGCGAGCGAATCACAGATTGGGAGACTGAAATGGGAGGCGAAAGGAAGGCTCAACAATCGATTGGCATCAGATATGGTATCGTTTTTTTGTTCTCATAGAAAGGATCGAACACTATCCATTGCTTTCAGCATCATCTGCCCGGTGTACACATGACAAGTTGTGATTACCATTCAAAAGAGTTACAATGTCAGGGAAAGGAAGGAAGCACAGATCAGACTTACTCAAACAAAGAGGCACAAGACATGATCGATAAAGCAAGAGGCGTGAAGTACGATGAGGAAAACAACCCAGACAGAGCCTTGCTCAAAACAAACAACAAAACATCCTAAGGAGTGGCATCAGTAAGCGTTTGATTATAGGACGAGGCAGAGGAAGCGGAACAACAAGTGAGCACAGCACAGCATGGGATGGAACAATGTGGTGGCATCAGACAGACAAACGTTTATCTTCTCATGGATTGAATCGAACACTATCCATTGCTTTCAGCATCCCTTGCCATTCTCAACAGGAGAGGAAGCGACACAACAGGGGAGCACAGGATGTGATGGCATCAGATAAACACACTTGTTCTCATGGATTGAGTCGAACACTATCCATTGCTTTCAACATCCCTTGCCATTCCCAACATGCAGGAGCGGACCCCCGTCCAGTCCAGGAACCTTCTATTTTTGAGGCACCTCAAAAACATAACTATCATTCTGGACATGCAGGACCAGTACGAGGTTTACACTTCAAAGAAATGACAGACCCACACGAGTGTGTGGAAAGCAATGGAGCTCAACCCTTGGCTTCAGATCATGATCTGTTCTCACGGAGAAGATCAAACACAACGAACAAATGATTTCAACATCACCTGCCAAGTCTAGACATGCTAGGGGATGGCAAACGAGACAGCCCAACGAAGCAACAATGACAGACATACAGAAAAACGCGTTGCAATGGAAGGAAGGGGGACAATGAAGCAGATGATGGAAAGACCCATCACCCTGATGGCATCAGACAGACTATCAATTTGTTCTCATGGAAAGTTTCGAACACTATCCATTGCTTTCAGCATCACTTGCCATCCTCAAATCAAGCAAGGAGACGGGACGGTGTGTGGAGGGGAACAGGGTGAGAGAAAGACAGACGAAGGGGTGGGTAGTGGGTAGTTGAAACGCCGATGATCAAATCAAAGAGCAGGGTGTCATGTAGTTGGGAGAAAAGGAAGAAAAGGAGAGGAGGACTCAGGATAGGAATGGAGGCTTGTAGTGGACACAGGGTGCCATGTAATTGGGCACAGGGTGGCATGTAATTGGGCACAGGGATGGCATGTAATTGGGCACAGGGTGGCATGTAATTGGGCACAGGGTGGCATGTAATTGGGCACAGGGATGGCATGTCATTGGGCACAGGGATGGCATGTCATTGGGCACAGGGATGGCATGTCAATGGGCACAGGGATGGCATGTCATTGGGCACAGGGATGGCGGTGTAAGGAAGAGAGTGTAGAAAGATGGGTGTTACGCCACCACCTCTACGCATGGCATCAGACAAACTGTATTTCCTTTTCTCATGGGAGAGTCGAACACTATCCATTGCTTTCAGCATCACTTGCCGTGCAGATAGGGTGGTTGAGCAGAATACCCGGGAAATGGAGGGTAAACATGCAAAAGACCTCAGAGGACCAGTGGAAGCGACAAATAAAGAATCAAATGAAAAGAAAGGAGAGAGACGGGAATGGAAGGAATAACTACAGGTGTCCAAACCCCTCAGCAACGCACCTGCAGATCCCTTGGCGGCTGTGGAGGAAAGCTTAGCCTTGGAGGACCCAGAGGAGGGGGAAGACGAGGAGGAGGAGGGTGATGAGAAAGAGGAAGAGAGCAAACCTCAGTCAACTTAAAAATCGCCAACGCACCTGCAGACGCCTTGGAGGCTGTGGAGGAGGACTTGGCCTTGGAGGACCCAGAGGAGGGGGAAGACGAGGAGGAGGAGGGTGATGATGATGGTGATGCTGCTGGTGGTGGTGGGGGGAAGGGCATGCCACCGAAGGGGTTTGCTGCTCCTCCGCCGCCCATGCCCGGAAACGGGTTGGCGCCGCCGCCCATGCCAGCTGCCGCAAACGGATTGGCCGCGCCGCCCGGGCCGCCGCCTCCAGATTGCATGGCACTGAGCATCTGCTTCATCATGGCTTGCTGGTGGGGTTGGGGAAGCGAGAGGTAGGGGGAGAGACTGGATGGTGAGAAACATATGTGGAAAAGGGGAGTAAGGGAGTGTGGAGCATGAGATAACGATGCTCCTCTTCCCCCTGCCTTGGGATTGCTTCGCATTGAGCATCTACTTCATCATGGCTTGCCGGGGGTGTCGGAAGGTAGAGATGTGAGAGATCAGAGAACGGGAACAGGTGTTAATTGCGAGACAAGACACGCATCAAGAGGCAATTAACCTAAAAGGTACGCTGAACAGCCTGCTTGTCTGAAACTGCATCTCACCTGCATGCACCGCTGCTCACCTGCTGGCACCACTGCTCACCTGTTTGCACCGCTGCTCACCTGCATGCGCTGCATGACGAACTTGGAGCCCTGGAGGGAGGGGAGAGCGCCATTGGCGTTACACGCGAGAGGGGCAGGACAAAGGGAGAAGAGGAAAGGGAGAACTGAAAGAAGGTTGTGTGGAGCTACAGAAAGGAGAGGAGAGAGTATGCGATGGGCTGGCGAGAGAAGCAAAGAGCGGGAAGAGGGAGCAAAGGTGGCATGAGAAGCAAAGGCAGGCAAAGGACGGAGGTATGGTGGCATGCATGAGGGGAATGAGGGGAATGAGGGGAATGAGGGGGGGCATGCATGAGGGCATGCATGAGGGTCATAGACCGAGATTCTAGCTGGCAACTTCCAGGAGTTCTCACCCACGAGGCGAAGAGCGAGAGAGCCACGCCCACGCCCACCCACATGAGAGGCGTGCCCCTGCATTTCCGTGGGGGAAGGCGGGAGAGGGGAAATTGGGGAGGAGTGCGGAAATAAGGGCGACTGGCACAGGGTGGCAGTCGCACCAAACCACATGAGAGGTTTGCCTCTGCTTGCTGGAAATAAGGGCGACTGGCACGGAAATAGGAAGACGTGCATGACTGTAGATGAATGAACATGTGCATGTACGTGTGAATTGATGGATCTGCCTACGACCGGACTTGAACCGGAGACCTGTCACTGTGCATGACAATGCCCATGTATGCCTATGTGGAGCCCTCTCAATGTCGCCATTGCCATCTCTACACACCTCGCTCCATTCCTCTCCATATCTCTGCACCCCTCTGCGTCTCTCCGCATCTCTCCGCAAATCTCTCTGCACCTCTCCAAATCCCTCTCCCTGGTGCCACCTACGGGTAAGAGGACGGCTGGGATGGTCGCACGGGAGGTGGTGCTGACGTGGACTGGGACACTGACGCCAGCAGCACCTGCTGCTGGACGGCAGAGGACGACACTGTGTGGCAGGCAGGGGGGGGTGTGGGACGACAGGGGCACAGGCGAAAGGGGAGGGGTGGGGGTGGGGTGCGGGAGAGGGGAGGGAAAGGGGATTCGGAAGGAGAGATGGTAATGGGGAGAGGGGAGGGTATGAAAATGGGGGAAGAGAGTGTGCGGGAGAATGCAGGGGGTTGGGAACATGCCCATGTCATATGCATGCCCCGCCATACCACCCATCTCATACCCATGCCACAACCATGCCATATACCCATGCCATATACCCATGCCACACCCATGCCATATACCCATGCCACACCCATTCCATATACGCATGCCACACCCATGCCATATACCCATGCCACACCCATGCCATGCTGTGCTGAGTCTTTCACACATTGCCTGCTGCTAACAGACCCTGCTATTATTCCACAAGAAACCTTAAAATGCACCGCAAAGCCCTTGATAAACCTCGGCATCCATCTCAAGCACTTTGCCTCATAAACCCTTGATAAACCCTTGATTTGTTTCCTCTTTCTCGCCTCAGCCAATTCCCCTCCCCTCCGCCACAGCCTTTCACCATACCTATGCTTGTCGCACTGAAACTTCTCTCGACCACAGCGCACCGCTGTGCTTCTCACCCCTCCGAACCTTTCCCCACCCTCTCCCCCACTTCTCTCCCCACCCTTTCCCTTCAACTCTTCCAATCGTACCCCTCTCCCAACCCCTCCCTCGTCTCACCTCTGTCCCCCCCCTTGCTCGTGCCCCTTCCTCCCGCTGCCGCCGCCACCGCCGCTCCTGGTCTAAACCCCGCTGTCCTGACCACACGTGGCGCTCCAGGAGTGGGTCCGGACCGGCCTAGCGGCAGCCACGTGGCGGGCGAGAGAGACGCCGGTGCTGACGTGGCGCCTCTGAGAACGGGCTCGCCCGCAAGCAGCGCCGCCTGAGCGGAAAAAAGAAACGGGCGGAGGGGAAGAGCGAAACGGGCGGAGGGGAAGAGCGAAACAGGCGGAGGGGAAGAGCGAAACAACGAGAGGGCTGGAAGATGATTAAAGACGTTTTCAGAGGGCGTGGGAGAGAAGAGTCACAAGAAGCATAGGTGAGAGCGGAACCGAAGAATAGATGCTCTGATTAGACGGTTATTAAGAGCTAGGAGGAGGCGTAAGGGAGGGGGGGCAGGAGAGCGTGTGGGAAAGCAACGAGTGGCGGAGCAGCACGTGTGGAACCGTGTGCAAGTGAGGGCGCGACACCCATCGCATCGGGTTTCAGTCGCTGTGCTTCCGTATCAAGCACTCATCGTGTGGACTCGTTTCAGGATTTGTCTGAGCTTGATTTCCTTTTCTGTTTTTCCACGCGACGAAATCGCCGTGAGAAGTCGTATCCAGATGTCTGGAGATTTAGTTTGTCATCGCTCGTGTGAGTGTGCTAATCGCTTCATGCGCCACAAGACACAGCATTAAGAGGTTTCCTATCACGCCTACCCAAGCCGCACCTACCTGTGTGGCGGAGCATTTGGCGGTTGACTGGATCATCGCTCGCGCCATCATCGCGACCCAACTCGGTGATCACTTAGTCACGCCACCCAAGCCACGCCTACCCAAGCCACGCCTACCCAAGCACGCCTACCCAAGCCACGCCTACCCAAGCCACGCCTACCCAAGCCACGCCTACCCAAGCCACGCCTACCCAAGCCACGCCTACCCAAGTCACGCCTACACAAGCCACGCCTACCCAAGTCACGCCAACCTGTGTGGCGGCGCATTTGGCGGTTGACTGAATCATCGCACTCGCCGTCATCGCGATTCGACTTTGTTGGTCGCTGAAGATGTATTAGCGCTTCGCAATGTGACCTGCGACGGGAGAGGCAGACACGGAAGATGTACGGTGAGTGACGTTAGACCCAGATAACGTTTCGACTGAAGAGTCGCCTTGGGTCAGAGTTACATGGATCCGGATGAGGAGGATGTGGGTTGCGAAGAGGATGAGACCGAAAGCGAGAAGACGAGGCGGGCTACCTCGGAGTCAGGTAATCGAGCGGGGGAAATGCAGCACCTTACACGAAAGGTGAAGAGTGGAGTGAAAAAAAAAAAAAAAAAAAAAAAAAAAAAAAACAACAACAACAACAACAACAAAACAAAACAAAAAAAGGAGGAAGGCGACGATACTTGTGAGTGGACTCAGAAGTCACCTTGACCTTGACGATACCGACGTCCAAATGCACCCAACGCACGGACACCCAGATTGAACGAGTGTCGGTGAGGACAGAAAACGGGAAAGTGGGAGCAAGAGGGTGGGATCGGGCAAACTCACTTTATTCCCCTGGCGGTACGAAGCCCCGCGATCGGAACGAGTAGAGCTTAATAGGGACGAGCGGTATCCGATATTTGGCCGAGGGAGATGGCCGGGAGCTACGATCCTGAAGCAGCAGCAAGGCTTGAAGCAAGAAACAACTGGATGCTCGGAAATCTGGCAACAAAAATAGGCTATGTGATCCAAGTAGCCTGAACTGCTGCTGACTAGACACACTAGATCTTCAGCTGTTCCACATTCGACACGTCCGCATGAAGCTGCACGTGGCACGGTTCTCTAAGAAAGTGCAGGTTTGAGTTTTCGCAGCAATTTATTGATTGTTATTCCAAATTGCTGAGAACAGGAAGAATTCATGAGATACAAGCTTGGAAACATACTAGGAAACTAAGAGGTCCATGCAAATAATGGGATTTGATTCTCAATGTAGCTCCTTCACCTGGACAGATGAAGCTTTTTGGGAGAGAATTATTTGGAAGACCTGTAAAACTTTTTTACATGGATGTCCAACATGATAGGAATAGTTGTTGTACTGATGTAAGGAATTTTAGAGCGCTTGAACCAGGGCCCTAGGTATCAGACTTTTTACGCTGATTCAGCGTTAGATCAGACTTTTTTTATACACTCCTCTGAAGTCGAAGTTTTTTTATATGTATGTTGGCTGATTTTCCAGAGTATTTGTTTATGCCTTCTCTGTTTTTACAGCCTTAAAGTTTGAGTGTACGCTGTGCCTCAGCGTACTATCGGGGGTGCACTCTGAAACCGGGATTACGGGGATTCTGGCCAGCAAGGCGGTGTGTAGGTATAACACCGTCAATCACGGCCGGTAAATTGTATTTTCCCACTGCGGCACCGCTCTGTCGCGTTGGTACAGCAAAGATGCCATCAGCGACATTTCCAACCAATCGGGACTGTGCAGCAACCAGCGTTGGCAACATTCCTTGCCAACGCATAGCTCGCAGCGCGCTGCGCCACGCACGACACCAGAACCATCCACCCCACCCCACCTGTGCTGCATACACGACCAGGTGACGTACATGCAGGGAGCAGTGAGGGTTTCATATTGAGGAGGTCCTAAAAGGGGACCTCCTCAACTCACCCAGCGTGACCGTTCCAACAATTCCCTCTGTCGCCTGGCTCTCCCTTAGATCTTTGCCATCCCCTGTTACTACTGCCTGATCCCTCGTGTCAGGCAGTTTCTCCCAACCTAGCAAAACACAGCTCGGCAGACTCAATGGCTGCCACGGACACTACTGCGGACGAGCTGGACGACAACGACGATGTAGGTCGTCGCCGTCTAGGCGACATGGCGACGGGCCTCGACTTTCTGAAGTCGTCCTTAGCTACGCCTTGTGCACCGCCAGCGGCACCGTCTCTGTCCAGCACGAGTCACGCTCCAGAATCTGTGCACCTGGATTCTCTGCCCGAAGCCGCCACAGAACATGTGACAAACACGCCTCGGACGGAGCTACATGAGGTGTCCGACGAAACTCCATCCCGTCAAGCGCCACTACCGAAGTTGCGTTTACGGCAGGCAACCATTGCGTGGGGAACTCCACCACCTGCTTCGAGTGTTCATGCTCCTGTGGCGGCGGAATCACCCAATCAGGACAGCTCCAAAACCCGTCCCGAAAAAGTAGTGCTGAATTACGAAGAAGCGCACGACCGTTTCAAGTCGAGGTGGTGTACAGATTATCCATGGCTGATACTAACTATGACTGCTGCTGGTGCCCCCTCTTTTAAGTGCAGCATCTGCATGGAATTCGCGGGATTGGCAGGCAAATGTGGACGGCGTGGAGAAGGCGCTACCGATGTGCAGACGCAGGCCTTCAAGAAGCATGAGGGTACCTCGAAGCATCGGTTAGCATTGCAAAGGCAAGACGACCTGCTGCAGAAAGTGGAGGGACAACGCCGCATCGATCTACACCCCAAGGCGCAGGACAAGGAGATGGTGCAAATGTCGGCACTAGCGGAGTCGTTGTACTTCAAGAGCAAGTGCAACGAGCCCATGGACTCATGGATCCGGCTCGTGCGCTACCTCGCGAAGAAAAAGGTGCCCGGGTTTCCGGATAACGGTTACGGCACGTACTACAACACGTACGTGTTTCATGTGTTTCGTCATTTTTTCAAAACATTGCCCTCACATTTGCATTTTGTTTGTCGCTCACTCCCGTGGTGTTTTTTCTATTACAGGTACGGCTTTGGTGAGCTGACTCAAGCAATCGCGACTTGGCTCCAAACAACGCAGCTGGAGCATCTTCTAACGAGTCCCTTCATCGGGATCACGCTGGATGAGAGCACCGATCGGCGACGTGGCAAACACATGATTGTGTTTGCCACCTTCATCCGCGATGGCGCTGTCGTCACCGAGTTCCTCGCACATCTCACAGTTGAGAAGGCAGACGCCGCATCCCTTTCAGGCCTCCTCCTTTCCCACCTTAGGGCTGTCGGCGTGGACCTCCGCCGAATATCGGGCATGAGCACAGACGGGGCGATGGTCATGGTGGGGCAGCATACAGGAGTGGTTGCACGCATCCGAATGCTCATCCCCAACCTCGTCTCGTTCCACTGCATCGCACACCGGTACGCCTGGCTCGGCAATTTTAACAGCATGTTTAAGGTAGTGTTATTATTTACCTATATAATCTTGTGTGTGTTGTGTTGCTTGCAGAGAAGCATTGGCTGCAAAAGCTGCAGCAGAGGAGATCCCCACCTTCAACATGGTCGACGACGTCATCCGCGCCGTCGCGGAGTACCTTGGGCGTTCGGGTCCTTGGCACCAACGCTTCATGGAGCTCCATGAGGTCTTCACATCCACGAACCTCGAGGTGCAAGGCATACACGAGGTTCGATGGCTGTCGCGGGGTGCTGCAGTGTCGCGCTTCGTCAAAGTCATGCCCGCCATTATTGTGATGCTGTCCGAGTGGAAGGACCAAACGATGTACGAGTTGGTAACTTCGTATCGTTTCGAGTTCCTTGTGAGGTTTCTAGCGGACGTGCTGGATCTGCTGGACGTCCTCTCCAAGGTTTTCCAGCATCGAGAGGTAAGTGACGGTTCATTTGCTTTCCTGATTATTGTTTTCCGTAAACACTGGTACTAACAACCAGTGTGATTCGTGTGTGGCAGCTCGACTACCCACTTGTGCACACGCAGATCGTGTGCACAACCTCTCTCCTGGAGAGCCGCTACATTGATTGTGGCGATGATTTCGGCGGCGGCACCAGCGAGCATCTGTATCGGTTCATCGCCAAGCACGGGCCACAAGGGTTGCCGCAGATGGTGGTGGAAGGTGCCTCGTCGGACGGCAGCATGAACCGCTTCCGTTTCGACCTTCACGAGCGCAAAAACAAGGACTACCCTGGACCCGACCATCATGACGCCTGTGTTGCACTCTGCACCGACATGGCCGAGCTGCTTGTCAACAATCTCGAGTCAAAGCTTGGTGACCTCGACTCGCTGGCTGGAGTGCACCTCTTCATCCCGGACATGTGGCCACCGAACTGGGATCGGCAGGCTAGGCAGGCTCAGTGTCAGGGGTGGCTGTTGTCGCTCGCCACTCTGTTTCACGCCGACGACTCGCCCGAGATTCTGCCAGGTTAGTATCTGCTTGGTCATTCGGTGAACACGTTTGACACTTGCCCTCTCGTATTAAACTAATACCCTCCCCATTGTTACTTATATCACAGGCATTGACAAAAAGCGGGCGGACAAAGAGTTGAGGACTCTTTGCCCGGTCTTGGCCAGAGCTCCAAAGATCGAGAGGAAGTTCCATTCGGGACTGGCAGCCATCCTCAAGACTCCCGATTGGCAGCAGGCATACCCCAACCTTGTCAACCTCTGGGTGGCGGTAGCAGTGTTGCCTCTCAGCACTGTTGAGTGTGAGAGAGGCTTCTCTCGATAGAACCTCATCAAAACGTGGCAAAGAGGCAGTATCAAGGACTGCAGGCTAAGTGATTTGTTGTGCATGTCATTACTAGACTACGAGCTAGATTTGCCAGGAGTAGTTAAAGTGTGGCGCAGCTACAAGAAGCGCCGTCCAGTCACAGCACCTGCTGCAAGACATAGGGACCCTCCAAGAGCTGGCAAGGAGCATGTAGAGGAGGAGCCAGTAGCTGATCGTGCCCCTGTAGAACGTTATCAGTCAGACTCTGATTCAGATATGTGAATGTGAGGGGATGTTTATAACAGAGGGTTTTACATTCTTGCATGATCAGTCAGAAATTTCAAGATAACGCTGTTTGTTCAGCCTTGGAAAGTTGTGTGTCTCTGAATCTCCAGCCTAAAATTTTGAAGCAACACTGACAGACAGAGTACTAGGAGGGATGCACGCTGTGCCGTCAGCGTGCCTCAAAACGAATCTAGGGGCCTGGCTTGAACGAACTGCTGCAGCAACTTCGCGAAAGCTCTGAACAAATCGCGGCACTAACGGCATAACGCACGTCTTGTCAAATGATATATATGTTACATATGGTTAGGCTGTAGTGGGGTAGCCAATATGGGGTACAGCCCACATTAGGGTTTCATATTTGTACCTCATTCTTTCATAGTTCAATTATTCCTGCTGCTAGATTCTAACATGGTTTCAGAGCACTAGGTCCGTAGGACCGTTTTTTTCGGGCCCACCTACCGTTGCGGTTACCACGCTACCCCACGTGTTATTATGCGCCTGCCTGCCTTGCCTTGTGACGTGCTGTGCTGCGCGCGCCGTCCTGCAGCCCTCGCGCTGCCTACTGCTGCCCTAGGCCAGCGCGCCGCCCCTAAAGGCCCGTAAGACCCGCGCGCCGCCCCTGCAGACTCGTAAGGCCCGTGCGCCGCCCCTGGAGGCCCGTCAGGCCCGCTAGCCGCCCATGCAGGCCCGTCAGGCCAAAGCGCCGCCCCTCCAGGCCCGTCAGGCCAGAGCGCCGCCCCTGCAGGCCCGTCACGCCTGCTAGCCGCCCTTGCAGGCCCGTCAGGCCCGCTAGCCGCCCCTGCAGGCCCGTCAGGCCCGCTAGCCGCCCCTACAGGCCCGTCAGGCCCGCTAGCCGCCCCTGCAGGCCCGTCAGGCCAGCGAGCCGCCCCTGCAGGCCCGTCAGGCCAGGTCGCCGCCCCGCGCGACGCGCCTGCTGCCCGCTCGTCGCGCGTCGCGTTCGCTGCCCGCGCGTCGCGTCCGCTGCCCGCACGTTGCGCTGCAGCCCTGCGCGTGGAGCCCGCTGCCCGCGCGTCGCGCTGCAGCCCCGCGCGTCGCGTTCGCTGCTCGCGCGTCGCGCTGCAGCCCCACGCGCCGCGCCCGCAGCTCGCGCAGCGCGCTACAGCCTCGCGGACTGCGGCTGCCCCTGTTCCTCACGGCTGCCCATGGACGTCGCCCCTGCCTGACTGCCACCGTTGCTCCTGCAGCGGCTGCCACGGAGCGCCCTACTACAGCCGCGGCCCAACCCTGCAGCAGCTGCCGCGGAGTCTCCAGCCGCGGTCGCGGCCCCGTCCTGCAGCAGCTGCCGCGGAGCCTTCTGCCACCGTTGCGGCCCCGCCCTGCAGCTGTCACGGCCCGGCCCTGCAGCAGCTATCGCGGACCTACCTTACCGCCGATGCGGCCCTGCTCTGCCGCAGCTGTCGCGGCCCCGCCGTCGCCGCCGTCGTGCGCCTGCCCTTCCCGCCACTGGTGAGCACCTGCCTTGTTCGCGCACTGCCGCGCCATCTGCCTACCTCCCTGCCTACCTGCCACGACTACCTACCTACCTGCCTGCCGCGCATGCCCTGCCTGCGCTTCCACTGCTGCTCCTTCTGTCACTACTGCTAGGCTCTTACTGCTGCTGCTACTGCTACTGCTGCTACTGGCGGTGGCCAGATGCAGCTCCAGCGACGTCCGCGCGAGTCTCTCACGCCCCAGCAGCTTCGTGAGTGGTACGCTAGTTGGGGTTGTAGGGGTGGCCGCGCTACTGCTGCTACTACTGCTACTGCTGCTACTGGCGGTGGCCAGATGCAGCTTCAGCGACGACCGAGCGAGTCTCTTACGCCCTAGCAGCTTCGTGAGTGGTACGCTAAGAGTAGAGGGTCTCTGAGTACCGTTCGCTGCCCGTCCGTCATTCGCATTGGTGCTCGGACTGGTCAGCCTTGCGGGACGCTTAGTCACACGCAGTCCCGCTGCTTCGCCCATCTAAGCGACGCCTGGCATACCGAGTTTGGCGTCGAGGCTGAGCTTCCCGACTGGGTGGAGCTACTTGGGCAGAGGGTAGATATATTTGCTCTTGACTATGATGCTATTCTCACTGCCATGTATGCATTGCCTACTAGTGCTGACCGTGCCTATTACCTGTGCGTACCGCCTGACCCA